GCCTGACGCCTCTGGCAGAGGCGTCAGGCCTGGGCAAGGGGCTGATCCTGCGAATGGAGATTGATGGGGGTCAATGCCTGAGGGCTCCCAGTATGTGAGAGGGGGCAGGCTGGGCTGAGGGACACTCCCCCTCACCCCCGACCCAGTGCACGAATTTCGTGCACCGGGTCCCTAGTAAAAATATAAGTAATAAATAAAAGACATGTACTATCATTTTTAAATGCCTCCTGGGACCCAAATAAATTGATTTTACACTGCTGCTCTGTCATATGGTTGAGATGCATCTGTCTCTGTCTCTTTCACACACACACACACACACACACACACACTCACACTCACACACACGTCCAGGTCCAAACTCTGGGTCAGAGTCCTGGTCCATTCCTGCAAACTCCAGGCCCACTCCCCGCGACTGCCTGAGGCCAGTGCCAGCTTCAGGCACAGCTACTCACGGTACACGGTGATGTCAGAGGAGTCTAACATCTGCGAGCCGTTGCAGATGCCGGAGCAGAAGATCTCACTGTCACTGGTCACGTTGCTGAGCCAGTAGGCCCTCCAGCCCAGGCCTTCACCCGCTTCCTCCTTGAACAGGGATGTCTCCAGGCTGATGAGTTCAGGTTGGGGGCAGTCTGTACTGCAGTTTACCAAGAGGGACCCTCCAGCAGGCACCACCGGGTTCTGGGGCTCCACCCGAAGCCGGAACGCCTGCCCCTGGGCACCTGCGGGAACATGGAAGCTCCACTGCTTGATCCAGTGCCCCCCAGCCCATGTATCATGAGGCCCTACCACCCAACTCCTCCTCAACCTGAGATATGGTCTTTGCCTTCATGGTGCCTCCAATTCAGTGGGGACGACAGGCAATGGATTAGAGACAGGAGAGCGCAGAGGGAGGCCTATAGGAAGGGGCCTATAGGAGGAAGTGAATCAGGGAAGCTTCCCGGACGAGACAAGTACAGACAGTTTTAAAGGGTAAGTAGGAGTTAGCCAAGTGAAAGGGAAGAGTGATCCTGGTAGAAGGAAGAGTGTAGGCAGAAGTCAAAGTTTCAGATGGAGCTGAGAGAGAGAGAGAGAGAGAGAGAGGAGAGAATTGGGTGGGGAGGACAAATCACGTAATCACACGCGGGACTGGGCCTCAGGAGCCCTGGCTGAGTTAAGGCCCCACAACTTTCTCTCCAGGTCACTGGCGAGCCCCCGGTCAGATCTGAGTTTAAGGAAGAGTTTGCAGCAGGATGTGGGAAGTTTTACTTTCTCCGGTCCCCCATTCTCTACCAGCCCCTAATTCTAGCCCTCCCCAAGTTGACTGGCCTCACCTGGAGGCAGCAGGCAGCAGACCAGAAGCAGAGAGATGAGCGGAGTCCAGCAGGCCCTGGGCAGTGGCCCCAAAGGCACCATGATGGCCAGCCTGTGGAGGGCAGCGCCTTAATGTGGCACTGGGCAGGTCAGAGGGGGGCAGGCGGGGCCACCCGGAAGCACAGCCACAGCTGTTAAGATTGCAGAAGTCCGTCTGGGGCGGCACCTTGCCCAGGCTTGGGGAAGGGCAGGGGGGATGTCCTGTGGCCCTGGAGGTCCAGAGTGGGGAACCCAGCTAGGGTCCAGGGAGGTGGAGGGCTCTAACGAATCCCCCACGGGTTGGGCCTCAGTTACACGCCTGGCTCCCAAATGAATGCACAGGAAATGAGAACACAATCCTCTTCCTTTGTTCTCGTACTGGGGAGGAAGGGGGTTGGAGGGGGGCAAGACACCTCCTTCCTGCTCAACTTAGGGAAGTGTGAAATTGCGCAAACACTTCATTTCTTTCATATGACCTTCTCTCCTTTCTTTCCTTGTGATCAAATCGGCCTCATCCCACTCCCTGACTTTCACCTCTCCCTTGCTGGTCCACTCCCTTCATCACTAAGCCTTCAGGACAATGAGGTTCTGGTCGGCATCAAATAATCTTAGGAACCAAGCCTCAGGTCTAGTGACCACAGAGGAAGATAACATCTAGGCCTCAGTTGTATTTCAGCTCCGGACCCAAGAAAATGGACCGATCCCACCCACCAAATCCTTGCAAAACCAGACAGAATGGAGCCATGGCTGACGTGAGGACCAGATGCAATGATCAGCTACCCCTTCCTTACCCTGGCCCACCCAGCAACATTCCCCTATGTAGCCCATCCCCAGAAGCCACGGAGGAGCCAGGTCTATGCACACAAGATCCAGGCGTAGCACCATTCCCTTAACAAACCGTTACTTTCTTGGCTGCGCACTCATGTGCTTTGACGCCAGCAGGTGACCAAACTCCTTTACTTTAGTAACAAAGCGGAAGGTGTTCTGTTCCTAGACAGAAAGGTAATGGGAGTCCGGCTGGCGTGGCTCAGTGGTTGAGTGTCAACCCATGAACCAGGAGGTTATGGTTCAATTCCGGGCTAGCGCACATGCCTGTGTTGGGGGCTAGATCCCCAGTGGGGGGTGTGCAGGAGGCAGCCGATCAATGATTCTCTCTCATCACTAATCTATCTATCAATCTATCTATCTCACTTCCTCCAAGAAATCAATAAAAATATATATTTTAAAAAAAGGTAATGGGAGACCACCTGCCTGTGTTCTTGAAGTGATAAGGTGGGATTTCAAGGCAACATTTCAAGAGAACAATGAGGGACTTCTAGGCAGGGCCTCAGGGATTAATGTGAGAGCCAACATTCTTAGGGGACAAATAAGAGATTTGGAGGTGATAAAGAAGGGTTCTCTAAGATGAGTAAAGCCATGAAAATGAACAGAGCCCACATTTATTGGTCTCTTGTGCCAGGCTCTGTGTTGGCCACTGGAGCGGCTCCTGTGGGGGGAGCCACCTTTGAAGATTGTGGGGGGTCCTGCCACCTTTGGAGGTTTTGGGAGATCCCCGAATTCCCTATGCACAGTGCTGAGGTGGAATTGTTAGGGGACAGCTGAAGCCTGAGCCACCATCTGTCAAGGATGCTACTTGTTTTTGTTTAACTTTTAAAATTGATTTTTAGAGAGAGAGGAAGGGACAGTAAGAGAAAGAAACAATGTGAGACCAAAACATTGATCATCTGCCTCCTACATGCTAGCAGCCCTGGCATGTGCTCTGACCAGGAATCTAAATGGCAACTTTCAGTGTATGGGACAACACTGGAGCCACACTGGCCAGGGCAAGGATGCTACTTGTAACTTGCCCCTGCCCCTGTCCTCATCTCTCCCTTGCCTGCCTCTCCAGGCAGTTGGTCTTTTCATCCCAAGAGAACGGACGAGGCGTCAGGTGGCCACTCCCACCTCCATCTGCTCCATCCCTCAGGCCTCCAGTCCACCTCTTCAGTGAGGGACCTTGTTGAGGGCCTTGAGGGTACTAGCATTCATCCACTCTCCCCACCACTGAGGCCATGCCCTCCCCTCTCTCACCTGGGCATCACTCCCTCCAATCAGGGGTCTCCTCTGCTGCCCTGCTCCCCCATCTAGTTCCCAGATGGTGCTGAGAGGGCAACTAAAACTCAAAAGTATTTGTAAATAATATATCTGATAAGAGATTCTACCCAGATTGTAAAGAATTCTTACAACTCAACAACAGCAGCCAAAACCCAATTAAAAAATGGGCAAAGTTGGATAGACATTTCTCCAAAGAAGCTGATCAAATGACCAATAAATACATGAAAAGGTGCTCAACATCATCAGTCATTAGGGGAATGCAAATCAAAACCACAATGAGATAGTGCTTCACACCTATTAGGATGGCTCCCATTAAAACAACAACAAAACACCCACAGAAAATAGCAAGTGTTCATGAGGACGTGCAGGAACTGGAACATACACACTTTGCTGGTAGGAATATAAAACCTGGTTCCTCCAAAAGTTAAACAGAATGATCCAGCAATTCCTCCCCTAAAAGAATTGAAAGCAGGGACTCAGACCCTGGCTCGGTAGCTCAGTTAGAACATCATCCCAATATGTCAAGGCTGGGAGTTTGGCCCTCAGGGCACACAAAAGAATCAACCAATGAATGCATAAATAAGTGGGACAATAAATCGGTGTTTCTCTCTCTCTTTCTCAAGAATAAATAAATAAAAATAAAAATAAAAAAAGAGCTGGGACTCAAACAGATACTTACACACCAATATTCATAGTAGCATTATTCACAATAGCCCAAGGGTGGAAACAACCCAAATTCCACCAACAGATGAATGGATAAACAAACTGTGTTGTATACATACAATGGAATATTATTAATCCTTCAAAGGAAAGAAAATTCACCCTGCTGGTGTGGCTCGGTGGTTGGGCGTGGACCCATGCACTGAGAGGTTGCTGGTTTGATTCCCAGTCCATGGACACAGAAATAGTGTGGTGAAGGCCTGGGGGCTGGGTGGAGGGGGGCAAAGCAGGGGGAAATGGGGAGACATCTGGAATACTGTCAACAAAAAATAAATTTAAAAAAGGAAAATTTTTTAAATTTCATCCATGCTACAACATGGGTGAACTTTGAAAACATTATGCTAAGTGAAATAAGCCAGGCACAGCCAAACAAATATTCCACTTATATAAGGTCCCTAAACAAGGAAAATTCATAGAGAAGGTAGAATGATGGTTCCCAGGGGCTGGTGGAGGAGGGAAATGGGGAGTTAGTGTGGGATGGGGGCAGTTTCTGTTTGGAAAAATGACAACATTCTATAAATCCATAGTGGAGTTGGTTATATAACATTGTGAATATATTTAATGCCACTGAATCCTACACTTAAAAATGGTTAAAATGGTAAAAATTATGTACATTTCAACACACACACACACACACACACACACAAACAGCATTTACTTATTTTGATTTGTATCCAAAACATGAGATGCATTGAGGGCCCAGGAATGAATAAATAGATGAATAGATACAGTATGATAAGGTAAATTAATAACATGGCAATTATGAAGTCTAGGGGTGTTCACTGTACCATTCTTCCAACTTTTCTGTATGTTTGCAATCGTTCAGATTGAAGTAAAAACTGCATTCCTGATGGGTCTAGGTGGCTACTCATGTCACAAGAGGAACAAGCAGACCTTGAGTATCTCCTGCTAAGAGGGCACAATGGCCTCTAGGAAAGACTTGCCAAAAAAATAGAAACTAGACCAGCCAGTGTGACTCAGTGGCTGAGCATCCATCCATGAAAGGGGTCCCCAGTTTGATTCCCGGTCAGGACACATGCCTGGGTTGCAGGCTCAATCCCTAGTAGGGTGCGCACAGAAGGCAGCCAACAGATGTCTATCATTGATGTTTCTTTTTCTTTCTTTCTTTTTTTAAAATGTATTTTATTGATTTTTTACAGAGAGGAAGGAAGAGGGATAGAGAGTTAGAAACATCGATGAGAGAGGAACATCGATCAGCTGCCTCCTGCACACTCCCCACTGGGGATGTGCCCGCAACCAAGGTACATGCCCTTGACCAGAATCGAACCTGGGACCCTTGAATCCGTAGGCTGTCGCTCTATCCACTGAGCCAAACCGGTCAGGGCTATCATTGATGTTTCTATCTCTCTAATCCCTCTCCCTTCCTCTCTCTCTAAAAAAGAAAATCAATGAAAACATTTTTCTTTTTTAAAGGAAGCTGAACTGGATCATCTGTGGTCAAGATGAGGACAGAGAAATGCACTGAAACCACACCACAAGGATGACATCAGACTGGTAAAGCCGAAAAGACAACCCCATTTCCTCCACGAATATGTGGCAAGGGGGAGAAAAGAGGAAGACAAACCAGCGCCCAGTCAAGTGCAGTGTGTGACCTTGTTTGGATTTTTATTTGAACAAATGTTTGAGAGACAATTGGGGAAATCTCACAGGCTACCCAATGATATCAAGGAATTGTTAAACCTTTTTATTTTTTTTTATTTTTGTACATCACTCCTTTATCATACAGATCTGTAAAAAGATTTAGTAGTTACGCTCAAAATGCTTACTGGGCCCACGTGGCAGGGCCAGCAAATGGACCATGATTCAGAATGCACACAGTGAAAGACACAGCTGGACATGATCAAGTGACATTTCACTGCCATGAGACACTGAGGCCGGGGAAGGATTCTAAAACACAGCAGGATGACACCTACCGGCCAAGGAGCTCTCCCACCCTGGTGTGAGGAATGGCTTATTTGGTGATGACCCCATGTGGGAAGAGTTCAACCGCCACTAGAAACCCCAGAAGGGTTTTTGTTTTGTATTATTTTATATAGATATGCTTTCTTTTTGTAAAAGTCCATGCAACACGTACACATTCAGGATTGATCCCAATCTTCTGGAGCCAGCTTTTTGGGGGTCAAGGAGGAAATGTTTGTTGGAATCACCAGGCGTTCATCTTCCGCCGGAATGACCAGAGCCCCCAGTCAGTTCACCTGACTGCAGAGTGGCACAGCACTGCTCTCAGGAGCACAAACAGCCCCTCTTGCCTCTCCGCATTGGTCACGCCTTAACATGGCTCCTTCCTAGCCCCCTGCTCTCAAGCAGGTCCTTAGTCATAAACAAAACACTAGCAAAAAACTGGAGTTATTACCCCTGGACTCTCTTAGGTAAGAGTCTCCCTCGGCCGGGACGGAGGACCCAGGCCCCACAGGTGCCATTCTGACTAGATCGCATGAAGGGAGTGGGTGCAGGAGACAAAATGGCTAACACAAAATTGGGAGCCACCCGTCCCCATCTGCAGCTACAACCTAAGACGCCTACAGATGTGGTCAGTGTGACGTGTGCACAGGAGAGTGCAGAGGAATGGGATGGGAGGAAGGGTGTCCTTGGGAAGGTCGTCTGCCTGCTCGCCTTCACTTCTTGGCCTTGTCCTGGGTATTCACAGTCTCCATGGCTTTGTGCACAGTCTCTTCATCCCCCAGGAACTGCATGGGCTTGATGGGCTTCAAGTTCTTGTCCAATTCATAGACAATGGGAATACCAGTCGGCAGGTTCAGCTCCATGATAGCCCCTTTAGAAAGACCCTCCAGATGTCTGACAATGCCCCGAAGGCTGTTGCCATGGGCTGCAATCAGTACCGGTTTCTCCTCCTTGACCTGGGGTGCTATTTCTTCATTCCAAAAGGGCAGAGCTCTGCAATAGTGTCCTTCAGACTCTCACAGGAGGGTAGCTAATCTTCAGTGAGGTCTGCATACCTGTGATCCTTACTGATGTTGCTGTAGAAGGGATGGTCGGGCTCCATCGGTGGTGGTGGGATATCATAAGAGCGTCTCCGGATGTTTACCTGGGCCTCGCCACGCTTGGCAGCAGTTTCTGCTTTAAGACCAGTCAGAC